ATATATACCACATTTTCTTTATCCATTCATCTATTGAGGGACACCTAGGTTGGTTCCATAGTCTAGCTATTGTGAATTGAGCTGCTATAAACATTGATGTAGCTATGTCACTATAGTATGCTGATTTTAAGTCCTTTAGGTATAAACCAAGGAGTGGGATAGCTGGGTCAAATGGTGGTTCCATTCCCAATTTTCTGAGGAATCTCCATTCTGCTTTCCATAGCGGTTACACCAACTTGCAGTCCCACCAGCAGTGTATGATCTTTTTCACCACATCCTCGCCAACATTTATCATTGCCTATATTCTTGATGATTGCCATTCTGGCAGGAGTGAAATGAAATCTTAGTTTTGATTTGCATTTCTCTAATTGCTAGAGTGTTGAACAATTTTTCATGTATTTGTTGATTAATCATATTTCTTCTGTGAAGTGTCTGCTCAGTACCTTAGCCCATTTAACCTTGTTAGTTATTTGTTTGTTTTTGTTTTTTGTTTTTTTGGGGTGTTAAGTTTTTTGAGTTCTTTATATAAGCTAGAGATTAATGCTTTATTGGAGGTGCATGTGGTAAAGATTTTCTCCCAATCTGTAGGCTTTCTCTCCTTTGTTTTCCTTATTGAGAAGCGGCATTTTAATTTGAATCCATCCCATTTATTAATTCTTGATTTTACTTGTGCACTTTAGGAGTCTTATTAAGGAAGTCAGATCCTAGGCTGACATGGTGAAGATTCAGGCCTACTTTTTCTTCTATTAGGCACAGGGTCTCTATTCTAGTGCCTGAGTCTTTGATCCACTTTGAATTGATTTTTGTGAGGGTGAAAGAGAGAGGTTTACTTTCATCTTACTACATATGGATTTTCAGTTTTGCCAGCACCATTTGTTGGACAGGCTATCTTTTCTCCAGTGAATGTTTCTGGCACCTTTGTCTAGTATGACATAACCGTATTTATGTGGGTTTGTCTCTGTGTCCTCCATTCTTGTACCTGTAATGTTTTGTCCTTTAGTTTGGATGCTCAGGAATAGCACTGTCCAATGACAGTGTAACACAAGCCACCTACCCAAGTTTTTAAATTTAAAGTAGTCTCAAACAAATCAGAAACAGATGAAATTAATCTTCATGTTTTATTAATCAATCATACCTAAGACATCATTTCAACATGTAAACAATGTTTTTTAAATTACAATTACATTTTAATATTGTCTTCAAATCCTGGTGTGCTTTGGTTCTCAATCTGGATACACCTTAATGTGAACATTGAGTTTTCAACAGTGATTTGTATTTAGATTTCACAAGACTTAATTCTACAGCACATGCTTAGCATGTGCAAGACTGTGCATTAAACCCCTACCCTGCACCCCCAGCCAAATCTGCAGTTACAAAATTGGTTCACATACGCAACATACATCAAGGTTTTCTAACAACTGAACTGGGTGGTTCTGAAACTTAAAAGTTTCAGCTCCTTCCGCCTCAAAATCATAAAACTAGCCCCTATAACCTCCAGTACTCAAAGAAGCCCTCTGCCTGCTATCATGGTTTTAAATTGCTTCTGGAAGTTTCTATCACTTCAACACCAGATACTGCTAGCATTTTATGACTTTMTTCTTGCAGTTGACAGCAAACCCAGGTACAAATAAGCTGTCTCACAGGCTAGCTGTCATCTGGTTTAAGAAGTCAGCTGTGGCAGACAGCACGCCCTCCCTCAAGACCAGTCCGGCCCTGATACATTCTCTAATGGACTGAGGGCCAGCCTGGACAAGGACCCTTAATAATGCATCCTGCTTCCTAGGTTCACACAGACACCACTTTACAGAAGCCACACCGGCAAGACCCAGAACTATGGTCAGCTGTCTGTTGTTTACATGCTGGAAACTTTCCAAAGACTGGATCTTGAACCAGTTCACTGCCCATACAATACTGCTTACTCAGATCTTGCTTTTGAAGTCACCAAATTTTGTTGCTGTGGTGACATAACCTGCCTTGGAGCATCAATCTCTCTGATTGTTTATTTTACCAAACAATTTGAATGCTCTATTGGAAATGTTTAATAAAGTTTGACTGCTTGTCCTAGGAAGTAAAAAGATACAGGTACATTAGTCATCTGCAAAGTTAACTGTACATGGAATGATTTCAGGTGCAGCGCCAACACCAGATACTGTCGTGTTGTCATTTTGTTTTCCACCTAGAAAAGAACAGAAAGAACCGACTATTTTAGGTGCCTCCTAATTACCTCAAAGTGGCTGATCTTTCAAAAGAGTCTTGGATCCCAAGTATGATGTCCCAGAAGCAGTTATGCTATGGCCTGCTGTGACCTAGAAGGAACTGTGCTTATAACTTAGGACTCAAGTTCACCTTCCTGGGGAAGCAGGCCAGGTCACAGGGTTGGCTGTAGTTGTACTACAACTATTCGACATAGAACCACACCCAAGATAAACATACTGACCTGAGTCGCTGGGCCAGCCAACTAGAGGACTGCTTAGACTCAGAAGCGCTGATTGCTGAGCACCTAGGGAGAGGTGAGACACGTGTTCAGCCTTTCTCATTCACCAGGCTCAGGCATGGACAACACAGGGAGCACTGGAGCGCAACGGAAAGCAACAACACTCCCCTTTCATTCAACAGCAAGTGYGGCCCAAGGCTGCTGTGGAGAAAGGTGCTAGCACTATGGGGTGAACARTGTCCCCCAAACACCTGCTGAAGCCCTCACCCCTGGGGCCTCAGAATGTGACCTCATTCAGAGACAGGGTCTTCACAAAGTGAGCAAGTTCAGGAGAGGCTGAAAGAGTGGGTCCACATGACTTCCTCACAAAAAGTGGAAGACGGRACCCAGTTGCTCACAGGGGAACACCCCGGGAAGACGGAGATCTCAGTGATGCATCCCCATATCTAGGCTCACCAGAGACTGYGACAAATCAAGAGAAGCTGGGGGAGGCCTGGAACAGATCAGCCCTCTGCCCTCAGCTAGAGCCTGCCTGCCCATCTCTATTTTGGCCTTCCAGCCTCCAGACAGGTGAAAAGAATAAACTCCTATTGTTGAGGCCACGGGGTATTCGTACTTTGTTACAAAAGTCACAAGAAACTAATGTAGCTAGCTTCCTACTTTAACTCAGGATCCAATTTTATCACAGCCCCCAAATGTACAATGGATGCTTCAGCTCAGCAACTTGTCCCCCACTTCACCCCAGGGTTCAAGCTGGTTTTCCTCCTGCCACGCCCAGGTGCCTCTCCTCACCTGGCTTTGCAGCTGTGGTCCAGCGGGTGTCTGTGCTGGATGCAGAAGCTGCCTTGGCACTGCGCACAAGCCAGCGGCAGCATCTCCTTCTTTTTACATCCTTCTTKTGAGCATCGGTACGTGAAGACCTGGGAGAGAAAAGCACATCCGTGAGCAGGGCTTCAACAGCCCCCAGCAGCACCACGCACTCAACTAGAAACAGGTCTCGGCCTCGTGGATGAARACATCCAGGTCCTAGGGAGACACCTTAGTGTCAGGTGGAAAGACAAACATAGATTAAGGAATTGGCAAAATTGGGGATCAGGTGAAGATGGCCAGAAGCTGTCCCCAGAAGACTAGGAAGAAAAGACCAAAGGAGGAAAGGAGGCCAAGCAACTGCTCTTGGAAGCACTGGGTCAGCAGAGGCTGTCCCCACAAGGGGCCAGGGTAGAATGCCTAGATCTTCCACACCTACTGATCACTGTGTTTATTTTTAAAGGAGGATCAAGTGTTGATACTTTTGACTGCCTGTGAATTAAGAAGGTAACTGAAGGGGAGGATTCCAGCAGCCTGAGAGCAGCCTCTGGTAAAGAGGGGCAGGCAGGCAGCTTGAGGGCCATGCAGCAAGCACCTGTAAAAGCCCCATCTGCAAAGGCAGGCACAGGCGTGCCAGTACAGGATGGGCGGGGAGACTGGGGGGGGGGGTAATTCTGAGCTGAGCCCGGAATGAGAGGAGCTCCTCTCCAGATTTGGGAGACGTCWGTGGGGTGGAGATGAGGCCTGTAGTGGGTGCACAGCCACAGGGGAGTGACCAGGCGAGGAACGGGGCTGCAACACRCTTCTGCTTCCATACACAGGGTTTTGTGTGAAGACAAAGGAATGCAAATTCCATTTCTTTGTGTTTAAAATTGAAAACAGTAAGCAAGAGCTAAAGGGCTTTACRTTTACTTATGATCGAGTAATTGTGAGGTATTTAGTGAAATGTACTGTTTTACACAGTTGTTAACTACAAATCAGGGTCTCTACCTAGAAACTGATTAAAGTGAGACAAATGCCAATTCCCTAGAAGACACACCTAGAAGAAAATACTTGTTTGGAGAACAGCAAAACAGGGTGGGGCCATGCACCCAAGAAAGCAGGTGCATGAAAACCACCTGAATGAGCCTCCCAGGGAGGAAAGGTTCACAGCCAGCCAGCCCAGACTGGGGGGTGGCCTGCAGTCCAGGGGTCAGGCAGCCTGGAGAAGGCTTGATGAAGCCAGCCTCTTCACCCCCTACCTGGCTAAGGAGCGGATCCCTACAGAGGTTGGTTCTGCCCTTCCTGAAATACTAGAGAATTGACAGAGGTTTTTGGAAAGGGATAAACCCACAAGAGCAAAGAAGAAAAAGAAAACAGCTGTAAGATTTTAGAAGCTAAAGCACACAAAGAAGAGTAGTGACAGACTTGGCAGGAAGAAAAGATCAGCTGTCAGCTAGGAGGAGACCATGGAGAAACCACAACACAGTGGCTGTGGGCCTGTTTAGAAGCAGACCCCATGACCTCTCCCACAGACGAGGGTTGGGGGAGGCTGGGGGCCTGGAGAGTGCAGCATGGGGAGGAGGACAGGGAAGGAGGGGAGAGCAATAGTAGGTTGAGGTGCCACTCAGACCCCTGGGCTGCTCTTTCCACTTGGCTCCCAGGACTCTGGAGGCCATGAGTACATCCTCCAGGCAACTCGAGGGACACCGCTGGGGAATCCCATTAGCCCAAAGAAAAACTKAAAGTCTTGGACCTCAGGGGCTTCCTGAGGGAGTGGACCAGGAAGATGACCCAAGGTGAAGGCTGAGTCCATTCTGCACTTTCTGAGCAGCCTGCTCCAGAGCACATACTTGAGAACACCTACTGTGACACGCAGAAAGGGCAGGTAAGGAAGCACAGTCTAAGGACAGATCCAACAGGAGGAACCTATCAGGGCTCCTGCGCCAAAGTACCAGGAATCCAGACAGAAGAAAGGAGAGAATGGAAACCGGAGACCAAAAGAACATTCCAGAACCATGGGGATGGAGTTTCCAGTGGGAGGGTCCACCCTGTACCCAGCATAGAGAAGATCCTTCAAGATGCTGGGGAAAAACTGGGTCAGGGTGGAATCTGGCCCCCAGAGGGTCAGGGAGGGGAAAAGCTCAGCACGTGGGCTCTCAGGGCTGTTGTTGTCCAATTAACAGAGGCCTAGATGCCACCCAAGCATCTCCAACTGCACTGGGAGGACAGAGCCAGAAGGAAATGTGTGCACAAATGACAGAAGAGCAGATAAGGGCTACATCCTCAGTACACAATGCAGTACACAGATAACAGATAAAACGAAGAGCAAGCAAGACAGGTCTGGGTGGAACAGTCATGAGCAGAAAAAGCAGTTAGCACAAATAAGCAAGTAGGACCTGCTAAGTGTGAACACCTGCCCGGGGAACAAGGCTGCTGTCATTCCCACACACTTCCCCTAGGGAACAGATAAACAGCTTCAATAAAATACTGATRCTACCAAACCAAGAACACAATGTCTAGAGCTGGGGACATGACTCAGTGTGTAAAGCTTGCCTAGCAGGTGCAAARTCCTAGGTTTCATCCCCAACACTGTAAACAATTAAAACACTGCATGTCTGAATTTTATAACCTTTTACCTGCTCCTAGGAGCTTAGAAAATAAATGTGCATTAATTGCATTAACTGAGTGGTTCTACTCATTAACTCCTCATCAGAAACTCTAGTTTATTCCTGTAAGTGAAGAAGGCTCTAACCTAGAAGCTCTTGTGTTTAGGAACTATTTCCATAACTCAAAACTCAGGGCATTCACAACACAAGAAAACAATCATTTATCACTAAGGGATTTATTTTGCACATAAATCATGAGGACTAATTTTTCACAGTTGGAAAACTGATCTTCCCCCTAAGGAAAAACCAACATTCTCAGGTCACAGACTGACCCAGAACTTGTCCTTACCTTCTCTTTCTTCTTCCCAGGATGATAGGCACAGTCTTTGTCAATGTGCTCTCCCACCACCACATCTGGTATCTCTCCCCTTTTTACAGGGATGGGGACATTGCAAAGTGGACATACAGGGACCTTGACATCCTAAAGATAAAGAATGTGAAATGACATCTGAGATCCACACAAGGAAAAGGTGAAGCACAAGCAGAGCACACAAACTGGCATCCTGATCACTCCTGAGAACCGGGCACTGCTGGACAGCAGGTTAACAGGCAGCCCTAGAGCCAGAGGGCCAGCTGCCTCCTGGGGAGACAAGTAGAATCCAAACAAAGGACTATCAACCAACTGGGGAAAGAATCCTCCCTGAGTAAGAGGATCAGGGAAGGAAGATGGGGAGATCAAATGAGGTCTCAGGACAGCAAGGCTGTGTGTCCAGCACGTCCTGGTGAGAGGACCTGCCCTACATCTTCAGAGCAGAGATGATAGGAGAAAACACTAAGCAAAAGGTCTTCCAGCTCACTTCAAGTGCACACCCCTTCTGTGATCCTTTGTAAAGTCTTCCCACTTGGCTTTGCATGTCCTCGGCTTTACATGTCCTCGTCAGTGAACAGAGGACACACACAGAGGCAGGATGCTCGACCCATAATCACCACAAGCCYAAGGCACCAAGAGCTCTGGAGGGATGCATTCAGAAGTTGATTGCCCAGGATGGTTAAAACCCTAAGCTAGGTCAGGCATGGTGGTGCACGTCTGTAATCCCAGTGACTCAGGAGACCAAGGCAGGAGGATCCCAAGTTGGAGGCCAGCCTCAGCAATTTAGCACAGCCCTAAGCAACTTAGTGAGAACCCGTCTAAAAATAAATAAAAAGAGCAATTGGRTGTGGTGACACACTTGTATCCCAGCAGCCTAGGAGGCTGAAACAGGAGGATCACAAGTTCAAAGCCAGTCTCACCAACTTAGCAAGGCTCTGAGCAACTTCGGGCTAGGGAAGTGACTCCTTGGTTAAGCAGCCCTGGGTTCAAACCCCAGGACCAAAAAAATTAACAAATAAATAAAAAGGGCTGAGGATGTGTGGCTCAATGGTAAAGCACTCGTGTGTTAAATCCCCAATACCMAAAAAACAAAAAACCCTGACCCAGGACAGGAGTTGAGGGAATGGATCATAAGAAAAATGAGGTGGCTGTTACATCAGACAGGTGGCAGTAATCAAAACTGCGGAGCTTGCAGTCTGTGGGTGGAGCTGAAAGTCTCAGGTGTTCCTCAGTTGGCAAGTCTGCTGGCATTACCAGGTGACTGTCAGCCAGACTCCTCCCACAGGGGGACCTGGGAAGACCCAGGTGAYACATGAACAGGATAGCTGGTCTAGTCATCAGGGCCTGGTAAACACAGGAGRTGAGTCACTCTCCCACCTGCCTTGATGACCCAGAGAGGGCGGAGGGGCCGATCCTGTTCAAAGCATGTGATTCCAAGTTACCCACACTGCATCTGCCACCAGAGGGAAGTGGCAGAGTTCACTGAAACCAACTGTTAACCACCCAGAAACAAAGTGACCACAGTCTGGAAACCACCTGAAAAGCCAAACTCAGAAGTCCGAAGCCCACAGATGACTGTGAGTTTCTATCATGTACTATTTGAAACACCTAAAAATATAAAAAGGCTACAGGAGCCCAGATGAATAAGCACCTTTCACACCTTCCTGATTAGACTGCACGTCAAGCTCTGAAACAGCCCCTATGCCCATAAAGACACAGCTGTGTTCTCTTGGTGCAATGGATCAAAGGAACCACATACTTTAAGGTGAAAAGTGAGCTCTGAAAGTGAGGTTGTGTGTATAAAAGTTAAGGCAGCTGCAGCTGGGCCAAGAGGGAGGAAAGTTTCCCTGCAGCCTCCAAGATCAGATAGAACACTGCAGTCTGCCTCCCGGGCACAACAAAAGACACCATATGGGAAGAACGTGCTTTCAAGACAGATGTGATGGCTTCCAACCACAGGGCTCCTACTGACATTCCAACTATCCCAAAAGACTTATCACCTACTAATGACCCGCTTGCAACCAATCTAGTAAAACTTTATGCACAAAAAGATTCAGCATCCATCTAAATCTATTCCAAACAACTTGTGTAGCCAGTAGGGCTAAATGGAAATTATTCACAACAGGTTATTTCACCTCATCTCACTCTCCCTCTTCCTCCTTTAAAAGCCGAGTCCTCCTACCTTGAGGGGGCACTGGGTTGGTTGCTAATCAATTTATCTCCTGATTTGCAAACCTACCCTATGCCTAGACAAACACTATCCTTACATTTATTTTAACCTTGTTTATGGTCTGTGGTTCACAGCCACAACAATTTGATTCCAAAAGTCCTAAAAAATAAAATCTCAGAAACTTTAGAGCTGTCCTGTCCAGCAGAACTTTCTGTCATAGTGGAAACACTCCTTACCTGTGCTGTTCAATACAGAGGTCACAGGCCACATGTGGTCACTGAACACTTGAAATATGGCTGGTGCAGCTGACTGATTTTAAACTTTATTTAATTTTCCTTAAGTGGCCACCTGTAGCTAGTGTCTGCTATAGTGGACAGTGAAGCTTTAGACATTACAGATTAGAACCTTCTGAACAGAGTGTGATGAATTACCTTCTTGAATGCAAAAGGACACTTATGGCCAGCATAGGTAAAATGATCTTTACAGAAATCTTGGTTACATGCATCACACTTTAGTGGAAGAAAATCTAAAAAATATAAACAAAACGGTAAAGACTTCTAAGGATTAGAACAAAATAATTAAAGCTCGTACTAAGCAGATACTTACCTACACTAAGTGTTTCGTGTCTATGAGATAAATATATCTATAAGCTATCACATGTGAGAAAACAACTTTAGGGTTTTGCATTTAACAACATCAAATGACATTTAAGGATCTATCAGGCTCTTTTAAGAGAGATCCCATTTCAAGCAGCATCACAATTATTTTATTTTTTGGTACCAGGGATTAAACCCAGGGGTACTTAACCACTGAGCCACATCCCTAGTCCTTTTTTGGGTTTTATTTTAAGTCAGGGTCTCACTAAGTTGCTGAGGCTGGCTTTGAACTTGTGACCTTCCTGCTTCAACCTCCTGAGCCACTGAAATTGCAGGCATGTGCAGCCTCATCCAGGGCATCACAGTTATTTTAGCAGCAAACTTATATCCGCTTGATGCTGGCATATGAAGGTACTCAGTAATAATGTTGAATAGAACCTACACCTTGCTAGAGTCCCAATACTGATAGGCCATAAAGAATTATCAGGTAATCAAGAGGGGGCCATGGGGCACACCTGTAATTCCAGCTATTTGCAAGACTGAGGCAGAGGATGGCAAGTATGAGGCCAGTCTGGGCAACAAAGCAAGACCCCCATCTCAAGAAACAAAACAAGACACACAAAACAGCCAACAAAATACCATTGTCTATTAAAAAATAAGCTCTTAAAAGTGCTTACCTAGTTGCTTGCAAGTCTTTTCTGAACAATGCTTCCCCAAATCAGGAAACTCCATTATGAAAAGTGTTAAAAATGCAGTCAATCACCTAGGAGAATCAGAAATTAGGAGAGAAATGAAGGCTTTGAGTTAATCTCCAGGATTTATAACGTCAGCTACTAAAAGCAAACAGACATCCTCTTAGGGAGCACTAAATGTCCAAGTCATCCTGGGCCCTTGTGCAAGACTGAAGTATCACAAATTCTTGTTGACTTTCAGCCAAAAGAAAAACTGGAGTTTTAGCACCAATACCAGCCTCAGAACCAACTCCATGAGCAGAGATAGGGTGCTTTTTAGTCCTTTTAATCCCTAGTTTATGAAGCTCATCAGACTTTGGGTTTTCACTAAACCACCTTTCAATTCATGCTGAAAGGAGCTTCTCATGTTCAATTCACACAGCTTCGRGGAAAATTACAGTCCTGGTAGACTTTAAGTCACAATTTCACTTACTGAATATACTTGTTGACATAAACAAAACTCTGTTACCAGGTGCTAAATCACATTAGCTGACTACCCTTTCCAGAGAAGATTTAACTCTGTCCCTTGTCTCTCTCTCTCTCTCCCTGATGCATTGAGTTTTACTCTAAGCTTATTCCTTAATGACATAACTAGCCCAGAGTTGATTAGGGAGAGGTGCCAGCGCTTAACTCACCATGAAAAACGGGTAGATAACCAATGAAGTTGCTGCACTGGAGAGAGGACTTAAGTCTACATAGGGGTCCACAGGATGCTTCCATGACCTACATCCACCCAACTTCTCACAGCTCTTGTCCCTCCCARAATTCAAATTACCAGGATATTCTTCCAGATTTTACCATCAGCTCTCTCCACTCTTCTGGAGTCCCCTCTTAAGCTGTCCTGTGCCTGGAAGGTTCTTGTCCCTGCTCAGCCCTTTGGGACCTCTGTTTAAAATGCCATATCCTCTAAAGGGTTATCTCTAACACTCTTGCCAGCTCCTGTCTAGGTGAAACGCCCTCTACTCTCCCTTTCCCAAACCACTACAGTTCCCAATGGCAGATTCGTGTTGATTATGCTCATCTTTTAAGGATGGGCTTGACACAGTGAACACAGACCAGGTGTCCCAGGATTTTTTTGTTGCCGTTATTCAGACTCGTGACCAGAACCCGATCTGGTTCCCAAAATGATTTATTTTTGACCACTGCACTGGTCTGAGGATGCCTGGACGTGGGAGGAGGGGATCACTGAGCTTCGACAGTGAAGCCTTGTTCCTACTGGCTGGGGCTGACAACAAGGAAACGCAAGCACCGCTGGAGGGTTGGTTTACGAACCCCACTCGGGCTCCGGCCCAGCCCCCCAAGTACCCCGGGCAGGCCCMGACCCCTCACTGGCCCATCCCGGTACCTGGATCTCGTCGGGGACCAAGGCAGTTGAGGCCAGTAGGTGATGGCGGAGACAGAAAAACGGTGACGTTGTCCGTGGCCAGCCAGGAGGATCAAGGTAGCAAGAAGGATGACACCGGGAAACACTCCAGGGTGCCCAAGGCCCATCGGCTTCCACCCGGAGAACAACATCGCCGAGCCCCACAATCAGGTCCATTTATCCACAGCTGCCGCGTCCGTGAGCCGCCCAGCCCGGGCGTTCCCGGCGCGCCCCGACGACGTCACTCGCAGGCCAGCCAATCCCGCCGCGCTACGACGACGTCAGCGGCCATCGGGGCAACCCCATTGGCCCGCGCACTCCCCGCCCTCCGCCTTCCTTCTCGAACAGCCTCGCAACGTCTAGCGGTGCGCGGCTGAGTCACCATGAGGCGGCGGGCGCTGCTGGGTCTGGGGCCTAGTTGTGGGCGGTGGCCAGGACCGCCTCGGGGAGCTGGGTTCAGGCGGCTGGACACCAGCGTCAGGTCGTCTGGGGGCCTAAGCCTCCGTTTCCAGCAGGCATGCGCTTGGAAGTGACACCGAATTCTGGGGAAGCAAGCTGGAAACGGCGCAAGCTGGAGTCCAGATTTGAGCATGTCCCCGCGCTTCCTACATTGTACTCTGTCCCTCGACAAATATATATATATATATATATATATACACACACACACACACACACACACACACACATATATAGGTATATAGATACGTATATACATAGATCTGTGTGTTTGTATAGATGTATAGATACGGTTCCTTCTTAGAAGTTGCATTCTGTAAAGACCCAGCAAACAGAAGAGCTGAGGAATGATTCAGCAATATTCCAAGGAAATACAGAATCCTGTCTCCCTGAGCCCATTGTTAACACTGTGTGTGTGTGTGTGTGTGTTGAAGGACACCTCATTTAACATATATGGTTGATTGATTAGCAGTGGGCTCATGACCAGCATCCTGGGAACATGTGCTCCTGTCTTTGTGGCAGGAGGCTTCTGGAAAGAGATTTCCTTCTTAAAAATAATACCCATCAGGACATGGCCCTCTTCTATACCACTTGAAAATTTTAGCTCTTGTAATGCCAGATTCATGGGACCCCAATAGACCTCCAGGAGCCCAATCCGATGTAAGCACACAAGAGTCTTTATTGCAAGCTGGAGCCTGGACTCACAACCGGTCCAACTCAGCGGTTCCAGGGAGTGAGTCCTGGTCCTTTGTTCAGTGAGACTTTATAAGTTTTGGGGGGATACTCTATGYGTCACAACATTACACAGCAAATCATTCCATACCACGGGAAAATTAAACAACATTGATTAGCACATTCACTGGCGGGAACAAGTTGGGGAGTAATGATTGGTTAGTACAAGAGGGGGATTCCTTTGAACTGATTGGTTTAGGCCATGAGGGGTGTACTTGCTAAACTACATGGTTTCCCAACATGTTATCAACCACCATAGACTATTGGGGATCATCTGGCATCCCAAATATTTTCCCTGCCTCATGCTGATTGGTGGTTGCTAGGGGGTTGCTATGGGTCTTCACCTAGCCTAACTGAGTCAGGGACACCTGGCACCACAGATCTCCTCTGTTATTTGCAGATAAACAACTCAGCAGGATGAGTGCTCTGTGGGTTTTTCCCAGGATAAGGGTCACGCACCTTTCCTTAGGACAGGCCTTGAGGTATAAGCTGGTTTCTCACATCAGTTTCTCACTCTCTTGCTGATCTGAGGCTGACTAAGCTAGAGCCAAATCAAGTTGCTAATGTGGCACAGCAGGAAGGAAGGACCTAGGTTGCTGATGACATTGTTGAGTGCTAAACAACGGTGGTTGCCTCTTTAACAAGAGATAAACATGTTCATGTTGTCCAAGGCATCCAGGGTGGTGTTTTCTAGTATTTGCAGTCAGAAGGATTCTTAATGTGTAGTGAAGAAAGGTTATTTCAGCTTAGTACATACCAGCTATGAGACAGATGTGGAAAATTAGCCAACAATTGGATACATGAGTGTGTAACTAGGATGAGAGGTCTAGCTTGAGGAAATAGTAAAAAATCATCAACATAAATATGTGACTATGTGCTTAAGTGTTGATGAGATTTCTTAGGGAAAGGGGTGCTTGTGGAGAACAGTCCAAGCACAAAGCCATGGGAAAAACAATATTCAAAGATCAAAGGAAGATGAACCAGCCTGGAAATGGAGAATGATCCACCAAAGAACTTAGGAGGGAAATAAGAAGGGAGTGAAAGTCAAGGAAAAGTGCTTTCTAGAAGGAAAATCAATGAACTGCCCAGAGTGAGAAGAGGATGGATAGGGTCTGTTGGATTTAGGCAGGGAGGTGACCAGTACCTGGAGAATAATCTTATAGGTGGAAGCAGGAGTCAGACTGAAATGAGGTGGAGTGTGAGGATGGGAACACAGCTGGGTGTCAGGCATAGCTGCACACCTAAGGAAAGTTGGATGTTTGTCCCCATGCAGCTTGGATAAACAGGAGAGACTGCCCACTGCCACTTTTCTGCTTTGGATGCATGGTCAATATTGCTTTTACATTTATAATTATATCCTTCACAAATATTTTATTGGGTACTTGCTGAGCACACCCCATTAGGCCTCAAGAAACAAGATAATGCTGGATCCCTGTCTCTTCCTAGGAGCTTACAGTCTTGGACAGTAAGTATGTTGTAGGGACAAGGCACTGAAGACAGCAGGATACAGTTTTGTTTGGCTGCAGCCAGGCTCAGAGGGCACAGCTTTTGCTGTAATCAATCAATCCCCTGAACCCCAAGTTCAGGTAGTTTTAGAATTTTATACCCAGCATGTAAGAGGAGGGGCTCAGAAGTTCCCAGTCTGCACAAGTTCACATAAAAGCAGTTGTTTCTTTCACTGTTCTGGGCAAGTTAACTCTTCAAGGACAACACCTGAGAAGGGGAGAGCTTCTTCTCCCCCTTTTTTCCTCCCCCTGCCAGCTGTTACTCTGGAGCCCAATTGATAATTTCTCTTATCTTAAAAATGTAGACATCTCTGTGAAGCCCAGCTCAAGGCCAGAGGCTTATTTGCACATTTCTACAAACTACTCTACTGGATAAATGTTTGTGAAAAACTAGCAAGGGGGTGTCCAGAACCTGGAGTGCCAATTTCTTGCAGGCTAGTAGCCAAGTAAAATGGGGCAACATGAAAATAGGAAGCTTATCTACATTGAACTCTTTTGTAGAGACTCTTTTGCTGACAGTCCTAAAATCAGCCATGGTGAAGATTTCTGGAGAAGCCCAGTTCAGATTTTTTTTTTTTTTTTGTGGAGGAGAGGGTGCCACTACAAGTAAACACTGTGCTTATCAGGTCGCAGGGCAGAGACTGTCATCATGAATTCAGAGAGTAACTTCCCAGAGAAGGCCTGGTAATGTTGGACAGAGTGTCTAAGGTTTCACAAAGGTGGATGATCTGGTGGGTTTCAAAGATGGAAATTGGACTAGGTGAGGGAACTGGGGGAGACTGCTGAAGCCAAGGTTATATCGGCCTGGACTCCTGATGACAAGTGACAAGAACCCAACTCAAAATAGAATTTTCTGAAAGGGGAATACTGGCTCCTAAATTTCAGAGGCACCTGGATCCAAGAACTTCAGTGAGGTCCTTTGGTATTCTCGCCTCTGAGCGTCTCCCCCAAAGTCTGTGTCAAGTCCACAAGGGACTCTTATGGTTTTCTTGAGTCATGTGTGGGGTGACTACTCAGGAGCCTATCTGAGACACTTCAAGAATGAAAATTTGATGCCATTGATGCTTTGGGTGGAACAATAGACATAAACTGGGACTTTCCTGAGAAAGGATGTAATGTCACAGTACTCTTCAGTCCATTTGATGTGGACACTGATGTTGGCCCTGCCAGAATCACATAATACAGCAGGGAGGTAGTGCTTCTGAAGTATAGTGCCACTGACAGATGAAGGAGGGACCTGCGGATGGGGGAAGGGAGGAAGAGGGACAGGAATGCTGGAATAACAAAATATAGTTGTCTATATCAGTAGTGAGTTGGCAGTTCAGGGATGGAGAGTTAAAAAGATTAAAAAATAAAGTGCAAATTTTGAGATCAAGATACCTAGATAAAGTTGAGACCTAAAATGTGAAGCAGAGAAGTCTGAGCTCATTGATTGATTGGTTTTGGAGACAGATTGTTGTTCAATAACTTGGTCTGTAAGACTGATGTTTGGGGAGAGAAATCAGAGTGAATTGCAGGATGTTTGGGGCAGGTTCCGAGGAGCTGACTGTTAATGTAGTCCATGTTGCTGAGGGAACCAGTGAGGTGGAGGTGGAAGGTGGGGCAGGGGTTCAGGGAGCAGTTAGGAAACAAGTCAGCAGAACTTCTCGTCTGTGGGGCATGAGGGACAGAAAGCGGGGAAAACCTAGCTTCAAGCTTGGAGAACAGAACTGGMAAGGCTAGGGGGGTGATCGCGGGCCATGTTAACAAGATGATGTAGGTCTGTCTAAGGCCATGTTGGATTTAAGTTGTAAGAATAGGAAAGACACAGAACTAGAATTGGAATAATCTTTAAAACCAAAACAACAGATGAAGTCTCCAGAAAGAGATTAAGACAGTCAGAACTGAGCCTGAGGACGCCTGCAGGGGAGGGTGGGAGGAAGAGGAGACAGAAGAGAATCCTAAGAGACGAGGAAAGGAGGCGGGTGACTGTCCAGGGGGGGACCAGCAGGTAAGTGACCAAAGTGGACAATACTCTGCTAATCATGAGAGAGGAGAACTGAAAACCCTTTAAGACGTTTGGCCAGAAGGTTTTTATGACTTCAGGGAAAGTCATTTCCTTAGTGCTGTAGTGCCCAGGACGGGCTGGGTTACTCTGTGTGATCCCAGCATCAAAGATTCCGTGGCTGGAAATGCCCACGCTCTGTTCTTGCTCAACGCTGCTCATGCCTCCCTCCAGTGCCTGGGATGGTGGAAACTCTGCTCGGGGAGCTTCTACTCACAGCTCAATGGCCACTGACACATGGTCCTGGTCCTAGTGTGTGCCCAGAAGGGGAGGACTGGCAATACTTGTTGAACACGAAAAATGATTAACCACATAGTGTAGCAGTCAAGGTCAGATTAGGGCTGAAGGAGGGGTAAATGGTGGAATGTGTTCCTTTCATTCTGGGTCATGGCATCTGCTCTGTCTTGGTGACACTTTCTTGGAATTAGACTATAAGGCCCCTGAGGACAATAAGGACAATAAGTGTACATGATGCTGATGTACTTTAAGTGGCAAAAATAGG